ATTAAATTTACTGTTTACAAAGATAATTAATACAATAGACATAGAGCATATCAAAAGTAATGGCGAAAGTACTTTTTTTCTTACAAAAAACCTTTAAAAAAACCTTTCTCTTTATATGAATTCATAATAGAAACGACATTCTATTTTTCTGTGCTATCATATCATCCTTCAACTAATATCATAATAAAAAAATTTCAATAAGATCTGTTTGATTATGATATGTAACAGTTACATTAATTTATATTATCTTCGATATATATTCTTTTTCTTTTAATTCTTTGACGACAAAAAACGTATATATACATTTTAAGCTTTTGCACAGATTCTAACTTGTATGTTCATCTTTCTTCACTAGTATTGCCTTTAAAAGACAATTGGTTGACTATTCAATTGAAAAGTTACTTAAGATAGAACTAGTTGTCTTTTCAGTTTGTTTTTATTTTGCAATAATTGACGACGTTTAGCTCCTTGCAGTACAGTGAAAGAACATTTAAAGGAAAATAACAAAAAAAAAAAAGAATAACAGATAAGAAACGTAGACATATACAACCATAGAAATGTCTAACAAGAACAGTATTTAAGATATAGAACTACATCGTTGATATAGGTCATACAAAGAGAATTATAGAACATAAAATACAGTAAGGAACAGAGCGATTCAGAATATGTCATCAATTATGTTGATTTACAATAGGATTTAATATTTTAATAAGATAAGGATAGAAGAGTTTTAGTACCCCATTCGGAGTAAGTTTGATTGAACTACAAGAAATAAAGTCTAAAAAAACGACAGATCGATTTCCTTTCACTGTCTCACAACCTTTTATTAGAGAAACGATTCTGAAAAGTTTTGAAGTTTAATCTCTTCTATTTCATAGTAGGGGGTGGAGACTGTGGAGGAGCTAACGGAAATCCACTTAATGCATTTCTCCAACATAGAAGTGTTCTCAACATATCTCTTAAAAACTCGTAAACATCTAATTGAAAACTTCCTGTGTCCCGTACTGTTTAAACTCATTCAATAATGCATGTTCAAAGAGCGTTTCTCCATCGACTGTGTCTACTAACGTTATCAAATATTTACTTCAATATCTAATGCATCTATCTACAAGAAATAAGAAATTACCTTTTCAATTTTAAAGTCAACTCCGACATATATATATTTTTGACACTGTTCATCTCTAGTTTAGATGAACAAGAAAGATTTTTGCTCCTACATTAAAATGTACACTACACTTAATATTTAAGCAATAGTCGCACGTGATGAATTATATTTTGTTTGTGGTGATGAAGCTCCCTCCCCTTAGGAGAGTTGAAGGATGATCGAAATAGTTTCGTGAAAGTCAGTAAGAAATTGAAGATGAAACACGAGCTACTTGTTTCTATATTTTGTTTTTGTTTCACCACCGCTACTTTTCGTATAACGTTAATAAACATATATAGAGAAACCAAACTAGTCTTATGGAAATTTTATTATTATGACATTAGTGGAAGAAGTGTAGAAAAACAGAGCGCCGTTTTTACTATCAGCTCATATAGAGAGAAAGTTTCTATAAGTTTTATAATGAATTAACTCTTTGGCAATGGAAACGTATATATACGTTTTGAGCTTTTGCACGCAGACTCCAATTTGTGTGATCATCTATTTTTACTAGGTCATAACAGTATTCTCTCTTTTCCTTGATTTTATTATGATATAGGATATCGAAGTTCTTTCTAGAATCACCTACAGGATTCTACATGACTATGAAATTCTAGAATTTTATAAAGTTCGATGACTCTTTACAAAATTCGCTATTTTTCTTGTCCTATACGTTCCATTTCAGATTTTTATGGAAAAAAATCACAATTTTTGTATCTCTTCAACAGAAAAAAAAATCTCGTCGCCACTACTTTTGATACGCCCTAAATAGTATATAATAAAAGATAGTGCAAGCTTTTATTTTTTTACTCGAAAGTATCATATATTATTCTACAAAAAAAAAAAACCATATGAAGTAAAACTGCTTATTATTCATCGAGAAACATTATGTTTAATTATTTTCAGATTTTTTTTTATTTTAAAAGATAGAAAAAATAAGTTTTGACTTCAAAACTTCATCTATAAAATAACCTCAAGGGACACGATTTGATAAATGAATTAAAAACAAAATACTCGATTTTATCATATTGCAAGAGAATTAGTCGAGTAAAATTAAGACAAAACAAATAAAAAATATCTTATTGCGTTATTTTTTTAAAATTTAAGCAATTTTGTTGATTAAATTAAACAGAGTTGTAATCGGTTCGTTGAATCACTATTAGTCGATTAATCTGTATGGCTTTGAAGCACATTCATTTTCCTTTATGCATTTAGACGATTCAAACTGAAATTTGATCTGTATTTTAAAAATGTTTAGCTCAAGTAATACAGTTTTGATCGTGCATTTAAAAACAAAAGAAATATATTCTGATAATAGAAATAAAACAATGTGGACGAACAGAAGAAAATAAAACTAATAGTTCTTGAAACAACACTAATTGATTATTTTGATAAGAGAAAGTAAACTTGTTCTTAACAAATTTTATCAAAGAAACAATAGCATAACCTATAAAATATTATCCAATCAGTAAAATCCGATTACAGCTCTGAGATTAATCAGTAAACCACATTAGTGAGTATATGATTGAATATTAATGGGAACAGTTCGCTAAATGATAAATTCAATTTTCAAATGAGTTTTATTTCATTGAGTATTTCAACCTCAAAATTTTATATAAACAATGTTCTCAATGATGTTTATTGATTATGAAAATGTTCGATTTTCTAATATCATATATATATATTAACTTATAAACTAATTTTTGATTTGTCGCATAGAAAAATTTTTAATATTAGTATTTGAAGATAGTGAAAAATCTAATATTTCGACAATGAACTAGTTCTATTGAAAACTTGTACAATGTTTGAAGATGAAATTTCAATTTGAAAGGTGATGTGAAGGAGAGTAGTGTAGTTTTTTCGGCAAGACTTATCTAATGAAGTAATATTTATTTCAAAGACTATTTATTACTTTACATGGTTCTTTTGTAAGGTAAATGTTCGACATAATCCTACTAACATAAAATCTATTGGATGAAAAATTTCATTCGATTGTTTTTTGAGTAAAAACTAACAATTGATCATGATAAAAAATAATAGATAATTAACATTCAGTTTGTTATTGTATTCATCTCCACTAACAAAGCTAATTTACTACTTTCTGTAGGTTTGATTACAGAGGTTATTGATGAAGTCAATGGTAGTTAATTAATTGACATACTACTCTGTATAAGATTGAATAGTAATATTGAAATATTGACAAACATCTTAGAATGTCTATGAGATCTAGTAAATGTAAACTATTTTGTAAGATTTGATGAAATAAATTCTAAGAAAAATATTCGTTAAAATTTTCTTGTATAATGAAAAAAGAGAATATATTATATATATTTTATAGAACGGAAGTACCTTAATCGATGATGAATATTAATAGAAAATTTTTCAAGCTGTTTAATAAAAGATGACATCTTGATTTTCTTTCTTTTTAGCTTTTTCTAAATGGAGACGACCGATAAATCCAAGTATGTTCTTATTTGAATCAAAATTTAAAACAAAAATGAAAATTTTTCTTTTATTTAGATTCAATATCATCATCAACAAATTCAAATTTTGATTCATGTTCAATAAAATCTTGTCAGATATCATCATTTAATACACTTTCACGTTAATATTTTTTCATATGTGCATTTATTTTTTCTTTTTGTTTTTGTGTGATCAAAACTTCAGATATTTTGTTTAAAAATATATATATATAAATATTAATCAATCAATTTAATTGCTTTCTATAACAAAAAAAAAACGTTTTTTTTTTTTTTTTACATTCTATTTTATAAATAATAAAAAATCACAATTTCCTGATAGTATCTCCAGTCGTATTAATCGCAATTAAGTACTTTTTTTTTTTCTTCTATTGTTGTAAAATACTTCATGTCATAAGGGTAGACATCATCGTTTGTCTTTAGGCGAATAGTATGATGAGAATAATGATGAACATCAAAAATAATGTTGGTCTTCTTGAAAGTAGAAACATAACGGAAATTGAGAAGCTTCTTATTTTACTGTCGAACTAATCATTATTGAAAAAGAATTTTTTTTTTTTTTTTCTTCGAGTTTTCATGTTTTTTTGAAGACAAGAACAATGCATACATATTCAATGATCTATACATCATCAACAATTCGAACTATGTATCGTTTTGTAAGTATTTTTTATTTGAATTTTAATTCGTTAAATATTGATTCATTGATTATAGTTCGATAAAAATCAAATTGAATATTATATAAATCTGAATGAAAAAAAAAAAGAAATCATTTCTTTCGTAATCGATTAGACAAAACCTCGACAAAAAACATGTTTTTATGCGTGTTTAGAATTATTTCTTGCATCGCCTGAGTGATAAACAAGGAAGTGCAAGAAAAAGACGCACACGCTAAAAAAAAAGAAAAGAATAGCGATTAGGATGATTCCGTTCTGACCGCCTCACACTTACATTAATAAAGTCTTTCCATTGGTGTTGATGCTCCTATGGGTAGTTGTTGGTAGAGCAGTCAAGTTTTTTTTCTTCTTTGTATTCGCCTATATAAATGCATGTGAATTTCAGCATAATTATTTTTTTTTCTTGCCTTCATTTATTTTTTTTTCTCGCCTTTTCTTTTGTTCCTATTTATCTGCTTCCTTGTCTACTTTTTCTTTCTTGTTGGTGGGTTAGTAGTCATGGTGGATAGTCTTATAAAAGAACTTGCTATTGTCATTATTAAATACATTGACATAGAAGTTTATAATGCTTATGTTCGTGACAAAGCTCATTCGAGTATTTGACACAAGTGTAGGTGTACTTGGCTTTTGTTATTATTAGATGAACATCTATCAATAGAAGTATCATTGACGAAGTTATTAGTTCAGTAGAAATATATTAAATTGATGAATTTTCAATTAAATATGAAAAATATTCCCTCATCATCATCATCATCGTCATCATCATCGTCATCATCAACAATAAAACGTTCCTTTTATGCAAAAAAAATTCATTATCAAGAAAGAATTGTCGAACAATCAATTTTACCTCAGCAAACAACAGCATTATCACCTACATATTTAACACCCGATAGGAGTTGGAAAACGGTAGCAACATTTGTTGCTCGTAAACCCGGAAATGGACAAAAAAGACAGGTAGAAAGAAAAATGAATGGAAGATTTTCTTTTTATTCTATTAAAATTCATTTTCTTTGAAAAATAAATCAAGAAAAAAAAATAAAAAAGAAAATGATCTAGGTATTCAAATATCTTTTTATCTTTCTCTATATTTTAAATAGAATACAACAGAACATGTTTATTATCTTTCTCTGGAAGCAAAATAAAAGTAATTGTTTCAATTGAACAACTTAAACAAAAATATCCATAGTGTTTAATATAAGCTACAGTCTTCTTTTTTTTGTTTTTCATCAGTCGACCTTAGAACTTTTTTTTTGTTCCTGTATATTAATAGAAAATCATTGTGTAACTAAATCCTTTTATATATGCATATGAAAACCGACAAAAAGAAATAGAAGTAATGATACTCAACCAAACATGGATATGATTCTTGATTAGATATTAATTATTATAGTATTCGAAACCTTGTCTTGTTAAAGAGTATTTCAAGTTTCAAGTATGTGCTACTAACACGTTATGAAAAAAAACGAGAACGATGAAGACAAATTGATTTGAGTCCAACCGGTGGTAATATAGAGTAATGCCAATCAGCCAAATGTCAACTTGGGAATTCGCCTTCATCGTTCAATGGCGAAAAGAACGAGGAGGGAGAGAGGACGAGTGTAATGAGAGTAGATAGAGAGAGAGCAAGTTTCCGGTAGTATTTCTGATGATGGTTGTATAGTTAACAATGGGATGAAGAAGAAAAAAAATAATAAGGGAATGAAAAATGGAAGAAGAACAAAAGAACATAAAATAAGTTTGTGTGTTGATGATCTCATTGACGATTTGTTTAAATATTCAACAAATTAATCATGGATGATACTTCTCTCTCTCTCTCTCTTTCTTATGTAGTCATTTCTTTTCATAGAAATAAAAAAAACCTAACATTGAGTTTGAACAAAAAAAAAAAATAAAAAATTTCATCATTTTATTTCTATTCTATTTCTTTTAGGAAATGGAATTAAAAAATATTGGTAAAGTGGGTATGATCAAGCGAAAACAATTTCTACAAAAAAGGGATATTAGTCGATCACATGAGGTAATAATATAATGATTTTTCTAGTTCAATGAAAAAAAGAGAAGTTAATTTAAAAAAAAATAGAACGAGAAAGGTGACGTTCATTTAGTGTACGACTTTGGGTGTTTTTTTTTTTTTTTCTTGAAATACGCATTTTAATTTTACCGTTGAACATCATCATATCATGATTGTGCAAGTTGAACAAATATTTGAAAAAAAAAAAGAAATCGAATGCGGAAAAAAGAAAGAAGTAAACGAGAACAACTTTTTCTTAAAAGTATTTTCTTGAATAAAGAAGAAAAGAAAAAGGAAAATGATGGACGACAATAAATCAATCATGTATAAATTAACAGACGACTTTGAAATGGTGCGTACTATAAAAAAGAAAGTTGATCAATGAAGATCTAAATACTCATTTAAAAGTGACTTTCTTCTTCCTATGTATCAGGAAATGTAACAGTTGAATTTGTTTTATTACTCATTAATCATTCATTTTGTAATAGATAGTTACATTAGTATTTAATTAAATTACCTACTACATGCAAGAGTATTTTCTGTTTTAGACTGTTAAGTTTTTTATTAATTATATATTTCTAGGTAAAAGAATAGATAGATAATTTTATTATAGATCGTTATTATTATTATTATTATTATTATTATTATAGAGAATATATATGCCCATAGATTCTTTAGTGACTTCTTTCGGCATGGTGTAATCAAAGAGAATCACTTAAGTGTAAATAATTGTGTCTATTTCTTAATTATTTCTTTTTTTTTGGTTAAATAAGATTACAGTTTTGTATTTTTGTATTTCAGTTTAACATATTTTTTCTTTCAATTCAGACATAATCTTGTTATAATGCATATATATATATATATATATTATATGTATACTAATGAAAAAACGATTGTAAACAATAACAGACACAACACATATACCGAAAATGCTTTATAATCCTTCTCGCATGTCGTTTAGTCTATGTTATTATAAACGCCTAGAGGAAGAGCAATAGTAACAATAACAACATTCTTGTGTTGCTCTTCATTACATGTTGTATAATTCGCCCTATGTAGAGTATAAGTAAAGAATAATCGATTTCTTTTTTGGAAAAAGAACAGAAAAGAAAAAGAAAATGACGGCCTTTGACGATCACCTTGAGATGATAGTAGTTTTATGTAGAATGATCAAATTAATCATATTGAGAAAATACAAAAGACACAATTCCCATTGGTATAGACTTTTGTTTTCAAGAAAGAAAAAGATAGATAGGATGCATGCCATTGATTGGACTGTCATCGAAAAAACAATCGGATCACTTCTCCTATGCTTGAAAGAGCTTTAATAGCATGTTTCTATATAATATTATATAAAGAAAAAACTTATCAAGTTTTTTAGACTAGTCATCATCATCGTTGTTATTGTTATTATTGTTGTTGTTGTTGTCATTGTCGTCAATCGGACTAAATTTGATAGATATTTCTCTTCGTAAAGCTTATTCCAAACTAACAAACGAGAAAATTGTGTAGATCTCGTTAATTAAACTGACAACGAGCTAATTCGACTTGACATTCGATTGGGAATCATTTTTTGTGTTTTATCGTTCTATTTCTTTTTTTTTTTTTTTTTCTTCCGAAAACTATTACCGAAAAAGAAGGAGAAAAGAGATCGAGTTAAACGATAATAATGAGAACAACAACGATGGATGTTGTTGTTTCGTTGTTGAGCAAAAAAAAAAGAAACAGATGCGTGTCGTTGTCGTTGTTTCATCATGTGTGTAAAATATCGGCTGAGTTAGCAAGCTATCTACCACACCGAGAAATAGAAAGAGAGACCCAATAGAATAGGAGAAAAAAAAGGAAACAAGCCATCCCATCATCATCATCATCATCATCATCAACATCATCATCATCAATGATTATTGTATTCGTTTAAATAGCGGATCGTCAGACGCAGCAGGCGTCCGTTTCTCGCTTTCCTTCCAGATTCTTTGCTGTCTCTCTCTCTCTTTCTCTTTATATATATATATATATCTATCTCTCTCTCTCTCGTTCCCTTTAGACAAGCACGCACCATTATGTTTTCTTTCTTGAAGCGACGGCACCGAATAAATCTTTCTTCTCTAAATAGAGCAACTATCTTTTTCTCTATCTCTCTTCTCCTGTGTATCGTCATGTGCTTGTGAGATAGTAGGTGGTCGGAAACAATGATGTCGACGATGGGAGCTAAAATAACGCGAATACATACACATCTTTGATTTATAACTTTTTCATTTATACATTGTATAATACTTTCAATTGTTTTCTGTTTTTCTTTGGTCATTTTAATTATTCTTATTTATTCATTAATGTCCTCAATTCATCCTAATAATTCGTCTAACTTATTCCTCACCCCTTCAGCAACAACTAATCGTCATTTTCTTGATGTTGACCCTCGTCGCTTGTCAATAATCAATGCAGCTAATATGACTAATGCTGGTGTTAGTATACATCAACGTCGAACATCGATTGTTAATTATTATCAACGTCGAAATTCTCAATTACGTAAAGCAAGTTTTACGACTTCAACATTGGTATGTGACAAAATCTAATTAGTAGCGCTGCTGGATATCGACATAGGAAAAAGAAAATAGAGAAAGATTATATATCCTAGACACATATGTTTTTATATTTCTTCAAGCAGATGATGGTGATGATGATGATGATGATGATGACATTATAAAGAGAGAAAGTTTTTATTCTATAGATGAATTTATCTTATGTCAAAAATTATTAGATACAAAAATGAATTTTTTGTCATACCGTTAATTGAATGCTTAAATAAACTCCTATTTATAAAACACAAAAACCGAAAGGTATATATCAATGTCACTATATTATTATATACCATCTGCTATTGATTTATATATTCATATATACGTCAAATCGCTTTCTTTGAGTGATGACAGATATTGAATCTGTTGAGATTCATGCAACTAACAATTTTTCTTCAACAAGGCAAAATACTAGGAAATTATCGCAAATAACGACTGAAAGTATATAGAAAAGATCAAGTTAAGCCCATCAGTAAGAGTTAACTAACATTGATGATGGATTGCTTAAACGCCTTGAGAAAAAGAGATGAGTGTATGTAAGCGATCGTTATTATTATTATTATCATTATCTAAAGATGCCAATCTAACTACGCAACCCATCTTTCTTACCAAAAAACGAAAGAAGACATTATCCGTGTGTCTTATAGGATGTTTGTCTTTATGCGTGAATATAAATAATTCAATATGTCTTATTTATTATTATGATTAAAAAAAAGAAAAGAGAAACAAAAAAAAAATTAATCTTCTTGCAATTTTTATTTATGTATTTATTATTTTTTTTGTAATATTTAAATATAATTGTTGATTTTCTTTTGACTATAATTAATAGGATTATTTCCTTTTTTTCATATAATGATAAACAAATAAAAATTGTAGAAAAATCTGTAAGATTTCACTATTCATTATAAGAAATTGCTTATTTAGTAGAATTTATGAAATAAAATCTCAAAGGAAATATCCATAAGATGTGTTATCATGTGAATTGGGTTTCTTTTTTTACTTCCATTGAGATGACATATGAATCGGTGAACAAGGCCATTGAAATTTTTATATTAAATTTTGTTGTTTGTTTTTTTTTCTTTCTGTACTCAATGAATCCTACGAATGAGAGAGAGAGAGAGAGAGAGAGAGAATAACTTGTCTATTGTTGTGTTTTTTTTTTTTTTTCGATGAAAGAAACTCTTGTTTTTTTCAGTAGCCTGAAACTAATGAACCTAATAGAATAATGATCGATGAAAAAAGATTTTCTTATTTAAGACATTGTTCATGTTATTAAAATCTAACTTTGAAAAACATATCTCGTGCTCATCGGACTACAATGATAATGAATTTTTTTTGTTTGAAAAACTGTCATATTATGTTGACAGAAGTTGATTTGATTAATTTTGTTTGATAATGTAAAGGTTATATATGTAGTGTCTATGAAGTATTAGTATGGAATGCTTAATGAGAAATTATAATAAATTACTCATGAGATAAAAGAGAAATTAAAAAATTAATTTATTAAGTTCATTATTAAGAAAATTTAACAAGATTGTTTTACTTTATTTTATGTTATATTATTTGACTTTTATCTATTAAAAGTATTTTATATCTTTCATCAAGATAATAATTGATAAAATAAGCAATCGTTATCCTTTCATTTATTTATCGGAAATGGTACGAGTTGTTTGTTCTATCTTCATTACACTATTCAGTTACCATCACGTTTGTGAATCCATTATTTGTTCATCATTCCGCATCGAATTCTATTCGAATGAATGCGAATGACAATCAAATGTTGTTTAATAATGAGATGAGACTTCAGAAACGTATCTATCTATCTATCTATCTATCCATCTATCTATCTATATATATATATATATATATATATACGTCGTTTACACGGTATGCGTCGGCGTTCAAGTTCATGTCAACAAGAAAAAAAAAGAATCTTTCTATACTCTTTTTATTGTGGCCATGAAATGTGATGATTTGACTGTCTGTTTTTGTTATGCAGTCTTCCCTTTTCTTTTCTAATAGAATTAGAATTAATAAGACCTTCGCTGATTCCTACATCTCTATTGCACACTACATTTTCAACTAGTTTAGTCGATGTTTGTCGTCATTCGACATCCACAATAAACAAAATGTGATTATAAAACATGCGCATCTACACATATACATCTTATATATTGCATGAATATTGATTTTAAAAAAAAAAGAGAGAGAGAGAGAGAGAAAAAGAAAATGATTAAATAGAATTTTTTATTATCAATTGATTGACAATGTCTACTTAAAATATGTCAATAACAACGAGAAAAACATTGAATGAATTTATGAATAAATATTCACGAAAGAGTCATCGTCTTTCTTGTTATTCATCATTACGTTGTTCTGATATTCAGGTTAGAATATAAAATATTTTCATTTTATCTATTAAAAGAAAGATATTTTCTATCAAGCGTAATGTATCTTTTTTCTATATCTATAAAAAGATTTCTTTTAAAGATATCTTATTCAAGATAACTTTTTTTTATTCCCATCTTCGATACGATCGGATGTTACTGATTGAAATATGTTGGAAAAGAGACTTTTTTTTTTACAAAAACTCTACAACTTATATTTTTTTAGTAATAAAACATTTTGCTTGATTAGCTTTCAACTTTTTTTTTTTTTTTTCATTTTTCCTTATTGTTATATAGAATGAATGATGTTGATCATTTTCTTCTTTTTTTCAATGTTGTTTCACACTTGAATAATAATAAATGAGAGACAGTTCATGATTCTATTAGATACTCGTGACAAGATTTTCTCTGATTTATATGATATAACAAAACAAAGGAAATGTAAAACTATCATAGTTCTTCTAATTCGAAATACGTCAGTCTTCATTTTCTTTTATAATAATGTTAACTAGTAAGAAAAAGAATATACAATTTTATGACAGTAGTAATCAATTATATATATCAAATTTTATTGGATTACAACGAACACAAAGAACACAGGTATTTTATTTTCTAATAAATCTATTTTTCATTGTAATATGTATTTATTCAATTAATAATCAAGATTTATAGAAAGAGAAACTTATTATAAGATTATTTATAAATTTATATTAAAGAATTGCTAATGTTATTGAACTGCGTGCTTCTTTTTTTATATAGAAGAGAGTCATAGTTCATTGAAGAGTAACATTGGTTATTCAATAAGATTCGATAGACTTTTCGAGGTCTCAATAACCTATCAATAATCGAGGGAGTATTGGTTTATTTCGTCTATATTACTTGCATGTGCATACCATCAGTATCACATTATTCTATATTGATCTTTTCCGGCACATTGCGCACAATTTATTCTTTTTCTCTTCATTTGAAATTATGTTTGATTTATTGACTTTTCTATATTAAATATTTGATTATATTCCAATAGTCAAGTAATTTTTTTATTTTTCTGATCAAAAGAAAAATAAAGAAAGAAAAATTTCCTTCATAGTATATCTAATAGTTGTGATCAATCGAAAGAAAGAGTCATCTATTGTGTTAGTGTTGCTACTTTTTTTTTTCTTTTTTTTTTTTGTTTTTTCCTTCTCATTCACTATTGTTAATGTTTGAGACTCAATTATTGATTCCATACGTTCATTCTCTAGTATTGAACCCATTTGTATGGACTATTGAAGAAGAGAGAGAGAGAGAGAGAGAGAGACTTATGTGTATTGACGCGATGAAAAATATTTCTATCATACGACTAACAAAAGGCGATAGAGAAGAAGCAGAAGAAGAAGCAGAAAGAAGGAGTCGTTGTCTTGGGATTGCATGCTACTGAGCTTTTAAAGATTATAAGAACAAGAAACTCTGTTGATCAAAAACATATACTACTGAATCGAATATGGAATTACTTTGTTCTTTTTCTTTTTCTTCGCACTCATAAACAACAATCAATCATTAATAATACGACGACTACAACATCGAAAATAGAACAACAACGACAACGATTGAAAAAAAAGATTTTATTCAATATATATCTATATCATATTCAGAAAAATATCATGCGTAATAGTAATATAAGTGCGAATCATCGTTTATATATACGAAATTTTCTTACTGATTTTCGTCGTCAGTCGAGTGTTAATGAATATAAACTTCCAAATGCATTGGTATGTTATAAGAAAACTAATTTTTAGATTTTCTTCTTGCTTTCTATCTCTCGAAGGTCTACAAAAAAAAAACAAACATCTGATGAACAAATCTTTAAACGAGTTTAATTAAATGATTTCTATTGAAATAAGAAAAATTTGACATAACATTTTTTTCTCAGAAATTTTCTTGATATGAAAAAACTAACGATAATCATATAATAATGGTTCTTGTCTTATGTTGTTTTTCTTTTGTACATAAGTTATTAGGTTGATATCGAACAAATTATTTTGTTGTCAAAATATCGAGGTTATGATTGGAAAACTATTAGCAAAAAAAAAAACGTAGATAAATTATTTTAGAGAAAATGATAATAATGATAGAATCAACTCAAAACACTTGGCATCAATTATTTATTAACAAAATAAGAATACTAAAGAAAACAAAATTAAGTTACTTGAAATATGAACAAGTCCCATCTGCCTATCATCATCGAAGAAGAAAAGATACAAATGAAAACATTTTATTGTTTTCTGTTTCTTTTTTAGCTTAGTCATACTGTATTCTCTTTCTTTTCTATTTTAGTACAGATCAAATGAGAAAGAGAAGTAAAACCTGGAGAACTATATTTATCTATTTCAATATGTATATATGTCAAAAGAAGGGAAGAAAAAACGAAGAATGACACCACTAGAACGGTCGCTGTCCTTTCGCTCTTTTTTCTTCTACATCGATGCTTTGTGTGCATTTATATGACAAGAAAAACACATCAACTAGTGCTTAACAAGAAAAATATTTATCACTGCCGCTAGTTGCATTTTCATAGAGAAGTCATCGAGTCAAAAACCAAAAGAAACTGAGAGGAGGAAACGCAAGGCAAGCGAGTTAAGAACACAATGGACCATTAAAACAAAAGAAAGACTAGACACGTTCATCCTTTACTTGTCGTATTCAATTTTTTATATTCCTTTTTTTTCCTTATGATGTTCTCATGTGAGAAGAATAAATGACGATGTCATCAGAGATAAAATTTCATTCTACTAGATCAAAACTTATTAAGACTAAGGTATATAAAAATAAATAAAATGAACATAAAAATTTGTTTTAATTTATATTTTAGTCACTTGCAGTTACTGATGAAGAAACAGCAGAATTATCAGCAACACGTTTATCTATATCAAATTCATTAACAAGTGTTCATAAACAATGTGAAGATGAAGATAATGAAGAATCAAATAAATTAATTGATATTGGTCGTGTTGCTTCATGGGCTGTTGGTTTTGAAAAATTGCTCAATGATGAAATTGGTTTACATGTCTTTACAGAATTTTTAAAAAAAGAATTTAGTCAAGAAAATATTCAATTTTGGATTGAATGCGAAAAATTAAAAAAATTGTCAGATCCAGATGAAGTCTGTTATCATTTTATTATATATAGAAATCAAAAAAAAAAAAAAAAATATCAATTATTTTTAGATTCGTAATAAAGCTAATTCTATTTGGTCAACATATTTACATGATACAGATGATGGTTCATGTCGAATCAATATTGATAGTCGAACAAGACAAGAATGTCAACAATCATTATTAAATAATCCTAATGCTCATATATTTGAAAAGGCTCAATCTCAGATATTTCAATTGATGAAACTTGATTCATATACAAGATTTTTAAAATCTAATATGTATAAAGATTGTATTATGAGTGAAATGGAAGGAAAACCCATACCATATATCACAAAACCACAACAAACATCAGTTAATAATGAAGAACGTTCGAAAACAATTGATTCTCTTGTATGAAATATAATCACGAAAAAAAAAAAAACTCAAACAGAATTTATTGAAAGTTTCTTTTCTTTTTTTTTTTTTTTTAATTATTATTCATAGGCTAAATTGAAAGAAGAAGAGAAAAAAGATAAAAAACGAAGTCCACTTTTACCTTGGACAAAAGGTAATAATAAAATTTCTATTTCTTTTTTTTTTTTTTATTATTATTTAACTTTTTCTTATTTATGTTTTTTCTATAGCATTAATTAAATGGAAACGTCTATCAGGTTAGTTATTACTTTTGCTAATGTATCTAGTTGTTGTATACATTATTTCGATTTATTTAGCTGCGCCAGAGACAAGCAAGTCTTTCTTTTGATGTTTTGCATCCATTATATATATATATACAAATAGAAAAAAAACGAGCTTGTCTAGTTAATAACCTTGCCAACCCTCCGAAAAAAAAATTAATGTATCTCTGTTTTCTTCATCTATTCGTCAAAACTCAAAAGACATCGAGTTACGAATAGATAGAGAAAATATTAGTAGTCATAGTCATTAACATATACTATTGCTGATTGCTATTGTTATTGCTGTTACTACTAGTCATTCGTGTGTTGATAGCTTTATGTCAGTTATTGATGCTCTGCATGTGAATGAGGTATGAAATGACATAAATAGTTGATCGATCTAGATCTAATATGCTGTTGAAATAAACGTATATGTATTGAATGATATTTTTTTTTGCGATGAAAATAATGAAAGAGCATGTCACTGTTCGGTACTGTTATTAACGCACTATAAATATTTTATTGCACATTATATATTCTTCTTTTAATCAATATTAATTTCATTATTGTGCTTTATGTGTAAGACAATAATGAAAATTAATATTAATATTTTTACATCCACTAGAAGCTTGTTTTTCTTTAATTCCCACTCGCACATATTACCTCTATATATATATATGTGTATATCTATAATATAGTTAAAATACAGTTCTATCGATATAGATTCCTCTCTCTCCGTTGCAGTGTCAAACTCGGCGAGTAACACGCTCAATGAAGATTCCGGTGATGATTAGTGTATTTCATTAACTTTTCTACTTTAATCAGGTAGATAGTAAATATTTTCTAAAGTAGAAACAAAAAAAAAAAAAAAAAAGAAAATTTATCAAATTCTACTTTGTTTTGTTAATTCAAAAAATAAAATTCTTTTATTTGTTGAATATTTAAATTTAGTTAAACGTGATACATCCTCATCATCGCCTAATTTTCATCATCATCAAACTGCAAATGCTAGTACAAATACACCATTATATGATAATTATTATTCATCAATAACAAATAAATCAGCATTAATAGAATTGACACCAATATCATGTTTAAATAAAACTCCAACTACATCATCATCAATTTACCTTCAGACCCCACCATCATCTCCATTATTGACCATTGGAAATTTTTATAAAATAAATAAATATTCATCAAATATTAATCAACAAGATTCATCATTGTTTAATGTTGCTTCACGTTCCGATACAAATCAAGATAATAATGATAAAAAATTTATAATTGTTAGTTTATTGATTGATATTCTATTCATACAAGCAAAAAAAAAACTAACAATTTTTTTTTGTTTTCATAGGAACATCCTTCAATATCATCAATAGATTTATCTCGTTTTTGTCGTTTCATATTTCCGGATTCAACATCAACGGTTATTTTAACACATAATTCTACAAATACTATTCAAAAAACGATTAATCGTCTATTTGCTAAACGTGGACTTACATGGTATCGAACTGAATTATATTCTATTGATCAAGTAAATATTTTGTGTTTTTTTAATATTTCATTTGATAAGACAAACTAGTCCGAGATTATTTCCTGTTTGAAGATAATCTACTTTTCTTGCGAGACTCGACATATATGACACATTCGGTTGACATGAAAAAGATTAACTATTTTTGGTATCAAGCCTTCTTATACCTAGATATATATATTCTGTCCTGGAAAAAAGAATATTTTCTTTTTTATATTGTATAATATCAATTGAATATGAAATATAATTATTTGTACCGGATTATATCTAGAAATTAGTATTGCTGAATATTGAGAATGAATGTATAATATTAATAAATAAATTAATGTAATTGTATGATAGTAATGAGATCATTTCAAAATTTAGTTATTTTTTAATCATAATAATTAAGCTACTTCCATTTTATGAAGATATTTTTCAATGAAAAGAAGGAAATATTTTTCTATAATTAAATGTATTTTTTTTCATTTTTGTCGATAAATTCTTTAATAAAACATTTAAGCATGATTACAATTCTTTTATATATTAATCTTAAATAAAAATAATGATGATTTTTTTTTCTTCTTTTCGTATAGATTATACTTTAATATCATTGAAACTAACTGTCATTCGTTTATTTGAATATGCCTGTTTTTGAAATGCTTATGCCATATTTTGACTTGTACAAATTTCGTGAATATAATTTATGATAGGTTTTCTAATTGATTGATAAAAGCTTTTAGCTTATAGCGAATATCAATGCATTTGTTACGAAGATTATACAAAAATAAATCTAGAATTTTAGAAAGCTGAAGGAGTCGATACTCTTTCAAAGGAGAAGATGATCGTAGATAAAAATCATTTTTTTGAAGATCATTCGAGGTAATATAAACTTAATTTTTGTTGATTTTTTCTGGACAACAAAAAAACTTTCGTGCTCCTCTTAAATCTGCCACAGATGAGAGAATTCATCCGACTGATAATCTCTATTTGAGCTCATATTTTGCTCATAGTGTAGATAAAAATCCTGAAAGGATTTACACCATTACATCTTTCTTCTCGAGTTATAGTCATTTTACTCATCATTTAGCCTATTGTAGAATACCACGAGAAAAATCGCAACAAGAAGTTATTGCCTGAAATTCTTCTCAACAATAGTTCTCATGGCTCTTATGGTATCCGGAAAGTTTCAACTCAAACGGATATTTTCCTTCTGAGATAACATGTCTGTGCAAAAAATATTACTTTCACACAAGAACTCCAAAAATAGCCCTGTTTATCTTAAAAAGAAATCGATTTGTTTCACCTGAAATTTACCGGATATCAGAGAAAGGCCATGAGAGTTATTATTGAGAAGAATTTCAGGTTGAAACTTATTGTTTCGATTTTTCTCATGATATTCTGCAATAGGCTGAAAGTTTAATAAAATGATCATAATTCGAGAAGAAAGGCTGAATGACACGAATCCTTTCAGGATTTTTATCTACACTATGAGTAAAATATGAGTTTAAACGCTGGATATCAGTCGAATGGATTCCTTCGTGAGATTACCATTAGATTTTAATTGTTTCGAAATGCCTGTTCTTATTCAAAAAAAAACAGAATGATACATTCTGTAATCAATAATTATTCGAATAACAGAAATTTAAGAATTTTTGTAGAGATATTTAGAAATAAATCTTCTCAAGATAAGGATCAAAGCAAGAATTTGATTTTTTTATATTTTCATTCTATCTTAATTAATTAGTATTTTATACATATCTCAATTAGTGTTAACTGATTTACACTTGCTTCTATGATTTGTTGTTAAATTTATACAAGTACATTAAGTCCGAAAATGTGTCGAACAAGATTCAAACCAATTATTTGGAGAAATCAACCGTTTTCTCTAGTTATTATAAATTTATAGTCGAGTAATTGCTCGATATTCTTTCCATAGTCGTAAATAATATAGCCTATTCCTTTTTTTTTTCAATAAACACAATAAATTTCAATTAGATATATGAACAAGATGAGTTTCTTTTATAGCTTGACTCATATTTAATTACTAATACAAAACTAATTTTGCATGTCAGTTGTTTCTTGTTTCCAATGAAATATGAGAAATGTCAGCTATTGTCTTTTACTATTCTTCGGATTATTGATTAAAATGTTGTTGACACATCCGTCTGTACAAGAGTGCTACAACTATATATATATATATATATATAGCTTAACACTATTTATATTTAGCAATCTATTGATATTCAAGAACCCTTATCAACATTATCTGGAAAAGAAATTTATGTTGAAACTCGTATATTAATACGTATTGATTTTCCAACAAAAACTTTATGTGTACGATGTAATCCAAAACGAACACTTTTACAAATTTTACAACCAGTTGTTGAAAAATTAAATTATTCTATTGGACATTTTGTTTTTTATGCTGTATGTAAAAACTGGAATACTACTTGTTGTTTTTTTTTTTATTTATTTAATAATTTGATTATATTTAGAATAATTCGTTAATGCCACTTAATTTAAATGAAATTGTTGAATGTTATGATAATCAAAGAATATTTACTTTAATAAGAACAGCATCGGGTGTTGGTGAGAAATAATAAAAAACAAAAGATTTTAAAAAGATTAAATTTTTTTTTTTTAGAGATGTCAACTAGACAAAAGGTAAGAACAGCAAATGATATATTTGAAATGATATCAGAAAATGATGAAGATATTAAATTTGATGAATGTGGAATATTACAAGTAGTTACACAATCAAAATCAACATCTGTTGATGATTATCTTTTTTTTTCAACACCTGAAACATCTTTAACTCAATCGGAAAAAGATCGTATGTTTTAAATGAAAAAAAAAAAAAAACAAGAAATAAAAAGAATTTTTTCTTATTAATTAAATATATTTCTTTAGAAATCTATTGTGGTCCTAGACGGTGATTTATCTTGTTGATTGATAAGATTCCGGTATTAATTTGATACAAGAATACATTTGTTTTGTCTATCTTAGCATTGCAGTTCTTTATTTTTCCCAATTAAATCCTTAATCGAAAACAATTAATGGTGCTAAATTATATATCTGCGGCGATGTCATTGTCATTGAGCGTGTATTCATATCATCAAAAATAAATATTTCTTCTTTCTTCTGTGTGGCTTGTTGTCGTATCCATTGCTGTGGTACAAAACTTCTTTCTTTTTTTGTTTTGTTCAATACGTGCGCATGTGTGTATATCAAGATTTTTTTTTCCAACTTTGACATTTTGTCATTGAATGTGTGACTAAAAATGAACAGTATGAACAATAGATACATATATATAAATATATTATATATATATATATATTAACAAATTTTCAAAAATTAAATAATAATCATCGAATGATTAGATATAAAGATAACCGTACGTTTTTCCAAAGCATCTTGTATCCTTAGTTTTTAATTTCAAGTTATACTAACTCAAGTAGGTTGTTTGTTTTGATTCATTATATGTTAGATCATGACTCTAGAGTGCTCACAAAACGACTCATGTTGCATGTTTTCCGGCACTATCGCCGATAGCACTTACGACTGTCGATTCCAACTATAAAATATTGCAAAAAGTGTTTTTCACTCGAATTCAATTTATTTTTTAGTAAGAATTCAAATTAACCAAGAAGAAAACAGTTTCAGAATATCTTTTACTAATAAAATTTTTGCAGCACTATGTATAATATAAATTTATCTCATAATTGGGGCAGTAGTGTCAAACTTGAAAGTTGAATTCAAGTATTCAACTGTCAGTTCAACTATTCAAGTATTTAAGTACTCAATTAGTCAACGCCTGGAATGCCACCAGAATCATCTAACATCGACAGGTATTATCTGGAATGTTGCAAGCATTCACCATCGATGTAAAGCTAGCACGACGAGTAGCTACCACAACGGATTTAGGTAAACCAAAAATCGTGCATACTTGGACTTTTAGGGGCGGGACCTGGGTGCAGGTGTTTGGATACATGTTGCCGAACACCCTCACCAATTTTCCGCCCCAACAACGCCGAGCGTTACAGATTCCAAGCTCACCTAAATCCGTCGTGGTAGCTACTCGTCATGCTAGCTTCACATCGATAGCATCATCTAGGATGCTACAGGTTATGGTTGAGATGCTTCAGACATTATCTGTGATGCTACAAGAAATATGTGAGAAGCTTGAGCTACTGTGCAGCACTGAATAGGAATAATGGTGTACACAGAGACGTGCATGGGTCGTAGCCAGGCTGGCCAGATCTTCTGATTTTTCAGAAATTTTCTGATTTTGAACACTTTTTCTGATGGCTTTCTGATTTTTTTCTGATTTTCCTGACTTTCGTTTCCACCGTTGCAAACGTACTAGTTCGTTCTCATATGAATACTAGAATTATTACTATTGATCATGGTGGCCAGATCTTCTGAAAAGTCAAAAAAGTTTGTAAAATTTGAACATTTTTGTAATTATTTTCTGATCTTCTGATTTTTTTGATTTGGTTAGTTTTTTCTGATTTTTCTACGAATCTGGACGTTTTTAGATCGTAATTTTGTTAGTAAACTTAAGTACAATTATAACTCACTGCTAGTTCAATATTATGTCATCTTTTTGTCTTAATAGTTTGTAGTTTGTGACTTTTACAGTTACTAACGGACACTTTCATGCGCTGGTGAATCTTTATCAAATAGCAGCAGCATGTCCAAGGGAGTAACTGTAAAGGCGCTTAGGTCGCAGCCTTCTTCTAAAAATTTTGTTTCTTTTAGACAGCAAAACAGAAAAAAGTTCTTTTTCAAAGGCGTTTAGCTACTGGATTTATATAAATAGTAGCATTAAACTTCTCTGCGTTCGAAATTTTGAGATCTTAGGGATTACGCCCTCTGCTTTGGAGGTTTAGTTACGTTCCTGAGTACGCTGGATCCAGACAAAATCTGTATAAACATCTTTTAACTCAAAGACATTTATCAAAGCAAAATCGAACAAACGAGAAATATGAATAAAAATAACGAATTGATATTATTTAACCTTTTTCTCTTTTTGTAGGAGCTCTGAACATGGATACTACATATGCGGCTTATTTCTATACCGGTTTTGAGGACAAATTTTGAATATAGTGGAAAAGAGGCCGACTCTAAATGTTCTTTATTATTTCGTATGATTTAAACTATATATTCTTTATATTGTCGTTCTTTATTGTGAATTATCTTTGAAAATAATGTGTGAGTCATAAATAGAAACCAAAGAGAGCATTTTGTGACGTCATTTTAACGTAATAGACACCAGTTTGCAAAAAAATTACCTTTTCTGATTATTTTCTGATTTTGCCAGACAAATTTCTGATCGTTTTCTGATTTCGAAAAAAAAAATTTCTGATTTTTAAGTTTTTGATCTGGCCACCCTGGTCGTAGCTCTTCGGGAGGTGCTTCGCGCTCCCACGCCGAGATGCTGAAATAAAAGGTGTGTTAGGTGGGGACATGTGCTTCCCCACTGAATATCTGCAGAACACTTGAGAAGTTAAAATTTGAATAGTAGAAACTTCAAGTTTTCAATTATTGAATACTTGAATACTTGAATTCAGCATTCAAGTATTACATATACGGGACTTGGTGGACAAGATTCAGAATTTGATTCTCTATCGATTGACATACAACTCATAGAGAAAATCCATTCTCGTCAAAAAAAGCTGTTAGCGCAATCCCTTGCGGGATTAAAAATGTGAAACACGATGGAGCTATTGTAATTAATTAAATGGACATTATTTTGTTCCATTTCTTCAAGATAGATCTGTAGCTTACCGTTTATTTGATGCTTCAAAACTAGTTTTTCTGTCACAGTCTGTGATGGTCTCTGACAGTTCTCTGTCACGGTCTGTGATGGGTATTGGAGTTTCTCTGTCACGGTCTGTGATGGGTACTAGGGTTTCTCTGTCACGGTCTGTGATGGGTATTGGGGTTTCTCCGTCACGGTCTGTGATGGGTCCGAAGATTCCCTGTCACGGTATGTGATGGGTACTAGAGTTTCTCTGTCACGGTCTATGATGGATCCAGAGGTTCTCTGTCACGATCTGTGATGGGTATTGGGGTTTCTCTGTCACGGTCTGTGATGGGTACCAGGATTTCTCTGTCACGATCTGTGATGGGTACTAGGATTTCTCTGTCACGGTCTGTGATGGGTCTTTGGTTTCTCTGTCACGGTCTGTGATGGGTATTAGGGTTTCTCTGTCACGGTCTGTGATGGGTAT